ATATCTCATAAGGGATTAATATGCACAATATATAAAGAAGTTCTACAACTTAACAGCAAAAACTCCACCCGATTAAAAAATAAGGAAAGAAGGGCACCTGGGTGGCTCAGTCAGTTAAGCATCTGACTTCTCAGGTCATGATCTCATGGCTCATGAGTCTGAGCCCCACGTCGGGTTCTGTGCTGGCAGCTCGGAGCCTGGAGCCTGCTTCGGATTCTGTGTCTCCCTCTCTCTCTGCCCCTCCCCTACCCAAGCTCTGTCTCTCTCCATCTCTTAAAAATGAATAACGTTAAAAAAATTTTTTTTAAGTGAGCAAAGAACTTGGATGGACATTTCATGAAAGAAGACATACAAATGGCCCAGATGTGCATGAGAAGATGCTCACCGCTAACAATCATCAGGGAAATGTCAATCAGCACCCCATGAGGTACCCCACATCCATCAGAATGGCTCCTATGGAAAAAAAAAAAAAAACCCAGCAAGTAACATGTGCTGGTGAGGATGTGGAGAAATCAGAGCCCTGCATATCACTGGCCGAATTCTCAAATGGTACAAAGTGTTATGGAAAATGGTACAGAAATCCCTCGAAAACTTACACACAGAATACCATAGGACACAGCAGTTCCACTGTGGGGCCTGCGCTGAAAGCAGGGGCTGAAGATATATTTGCACGTCCATGGTCCTTGAGGCACTATTCACGAGAGCTAAGCCCCTGAAGCAGCCGGTGCCCACCAGCAGATGAACGGAAGGACACGGTGTATCAGTGCTTGGCCTTTAAAAACGAAGGAAATTCCAACACCTGCTAAAATATGGATGTACCCCAAGGACGTTTATGTTAAATGACATGAGCCAGGCACAGATTCTATACGATCCCACTTACATGGAGTATCTGAAGTTGTCACATTCACAGGGACAGAAGGAAGAAAGCTGGGTGCCAGGGACTGGGGCGGGGGAAACGGGGAGGTGTTTAAAATCTGAGTTTCAGATTTGCAAGACGAGAAAGTTCTGGAGATCTCCTTCACAACAACACAACTATATTTAATGGTACTGAATTGTATGCTTAAAAGTTGTTTAACTGGTAACTTTCAGGTTGTGGGGTTTCTCACCAATGAAAATAAAAAAGGAGAGAAAGAGACAGGGATGGGGGAAGGGAAGGGAAGGGAAGGGAAGGGAAGGGGAGGAAGGAAGGAAGGAAGGAAGGAAGGAAGGAAGGAAGGAAGGAAGGAAGGAAGGAAGGAAAGAAGAAAGAAAACATAGAAAAGAAAGAAGGAAAGGCAGGAGGAAAGACGGAAAGAGAAAAAGAGAAAAGAGAAGAGAAAGAAAGGAAGGAAGGAAAAACGAAAGGAAAGCGCATGCACACGCACACACATTCTCGGAGAACTGGGCTAACGGTTCCTCTACCTGCCCAGGTGTGCCATGGGGTCACAACCTCCCCTGATACTGCCAGGTCCCCTCCCCCAAGACCCCCTACCACAACACTGCACCTCGATGACCTAGAACTGGGGACAGGAAGGGGAGGAACAGGTCTGGTCTCCACCCCAGGGCTCAGCACCTGATACCCAGCAGATGTTGGATAATTACTTGCTCGACAAACTAAAAAATGCACATGGGGAGTTCAGGCTGGTCCGATTATCTCCATTTTACAGATGGGTTAATGGAGGCTCAGCAAGAAGAGGTGACGTTTCCAAAACCACAAAGACAGCAAGCGGTAAGAGAAGTGGCCCCGATACCCCAGACTCCCTTCCGTCACATCACCTTCCTTCAAAGTCAAGGTGGAGTCCATTTTAACAGGAATTCCCAAATGATTCTCACTGTACACTAGTGACTCTTAATTTTTTTCCTAAGCAACACATGCAAAACTTAGATACTAGTTTTCAGAGGGCTCCTGACCTCCTGAAGCCCATCCGTCAACCACATTTAGAGCCCCCTTTCCACCCTGCTATCCAGGAGCTCAGTTATCCTCAGGATTTGAGAGACTTCTCTATATTCTTGATTATCAGAGTCAAGGAGAGATGCTATTTTAAATGCGCATTCCCAGGCCCAGACCCTGTTGACCTGGTTAAGTGGGTGCAGAGCTGGGCCCAGAAGCCAGCATGGCACACCAGAGGATTCTGGGACGGGCGGCTCTGAGACACACATGGGTCCGTGAGCTGCCACCCCCGGGGGGCCTCTGAATAATGCCCAGGCTCCCAGCCTCTCTCCCCAGCTGCCCACCAAACCCGGCTAGTAGACATTCCAGTACAATCCAGGAACTGGGCAATCCCAATCAGGGACTTCCTGAGCCCAACCTCTGTGACCCCAAAAGTGCTCCTTTGCCGGGATCACGAGGCTAGAGACCTGGGCACCGCCCTTTACCGTCCCTGTCCCCAGCCTACATCTTGCCCATCACCAAGGCTGGCTGATCCTACTGCCTATGTGTCTCTGGGCACCCCCACTTCCCTCCACCTCCCCGCCCGCACCTGCCTCTACTGTCCCTCCTCCGTCCTGCGACTCTGATCCTATTACTGTCCAACATGGTAGCTATGCGTGGGCACTGAAACTTAAATTAAAATGAGGGCCGCCTGACTGGCTCAGTTGGTGGAGCGTGCAACTCTTGGTCTCGGGGTTGTGAGTTCGAGCCCCACGTTGGGTGTAGAGATGACCTTAAATAATAAAATCTTTAGGGGCCCCTGGGTGGCTCAGTCGGTTGAGCGTCGACTCTCGATTTCGATTCAGGTCACAATCTCACGGTTTGTGAGTTCCAGCCCCGTGTTACGCTCTGCACTGATGGTGCGGATCCTGCTTGGGATTCTCTCTCCCTCCCTCTCTCTGCCCATGCTCACACTCTCTCTCAAAATAAATAAACTTTAACATAAAATAATATAATACAATGCAATACAATAAAATATTTAAAAAATAAAGTAAAATAAAAAAATAAAGATTAAATATCCAAAGTTCTGCCCAAGTTTCACAGTAGCCACACACCAACTGCTTGAGAGCCACATGTTGGCCGGTGGCTACCATACTGGACGGCACACATCTAGCACATTCCCATCCTCACAGAAAGTTCTAGTGGACAGCAGAGCTCTACCACTTCCCTTATGAGCCCTTCGGGGTCTGGCCCCGGCCTCTGCTCACACCACTCTCGGTGACTTTGCTCCCAAGTCGCTGTGAACCACTGTCAACTCCTTAAACTCATGCTCTCACCTCCAAACCACTGTGGGTCATACCCTTCCCGCTTGGTTACCTCCTACCTGCCCTTCGGGTCTCAGCTGTCATCGCTCCCCCGACCAGGGTAACTGCTCCAGCTCTTGCCCATCACAGCATTGAAAACACGGTGTCACAGCAGCCATGGGCACACCTACACCCATCCCCCCCTCACCAGCAATTTTTAGCTGGGGGCGAGTTTGCTCCTGGGGGGACACCTGGCAGTGTCTGGATTCATCGTCGGTGAGATGATCCTGGCATCCGGTGAGGAGAGGCTGGGAGCACTGGTGGCATCGTACAATGCACAGGGCAACCCCCACGGCAAACAATCATCTGGCCCAAGATGTCGGCCGTGCTGGGGTTGACCATCCCTGCTCTGGACTGGACACCTCCACAAAGGAAGGGGGTGCGCCCTGTATGCCATGCACCACGGACGAGAACGGATGTTCTATAAGATCTTCCCCCAGGACTCCAGTTTCCTTACAGCGTCTTTCCTTAAAGACAAGCAGTCGTTGGTCATTAGGGCAGGCTGGAGAATGCCCCTCCCAAAACACCCCGGTCCTAATCCCTAGAATCCGTGGATGTCACTTTACGGGGCAAAAGGGACTCTGCGTATGTGATTAAGTGAAGGATCTTGAGATGGGGACCTTAGCCTGGGTCATCGGATGGGCCCCAAATGCATTCACAAGCCACCCTAGCAGAGGAAGACAGAGGGACGCTGGGCAGAGAAAAGGCAACGTGAAAAAGGAGCGGAGAGAGCGAGTCAAAGATGCTACAGTGCTGGCCTCGCGCCCAGTGGAAGCTGGGAAAGGTAAGGGCCAGACCTTCCCCCACAGCCTCCGGTGGGGTGTGGTCCTGCCGAGGCCTTTTTTTGGCCCAGTGAAACTCGTTTTGGACTTCTGGCTTCCAGAAGCGTGAGAGAATGCATTTCTGCTGTTTTTAAGCCAGCAAGTTTAGGGTTTACAGTAGCCTAGTGCGGTCATATTCCAGTCCGGGGTTTACTGGGTTTGGATCCGAGAACTGAAAAGGAAGGGCATGTAGGTGCCAGGCCCCCACCCCGCTGACCCTGAGGGCTGGAAAGAGAGATGGGGAGTAAGGGCGGCTGAGGCATGGGGGTTGCTACATGCGGCAGCTGCCTGGGCCATCAGCAACCGTGTCCATGCGTCATTCCTCACACCCTAATCCTGCCAGCGTCTGGGATACGGAAGATCTCTGGTAGGCAAGTGACTCGACCCAGGGTGCTACGTCAGTCAGCCTGGCGCTGAGGCAGGGATGAGAACAAAAAGCTAAGCCTCTGTCCAGCTCTCCAGCCTCCCGCCAGCCCCTCTCCCTTCCCCACCACCCCCAGACACAGGGCCTTTCTTGGACCTCCCAACACAGCCTCAGGGTCTTTGCACCTGCTGTTCTTCTGCTTGGAACACTTTCTACAGGGTCTCGCATGGCTGGCTTCTCAGCATTCAGGTCACAGTTCAAAGGCCACCTCCTCAGAGAGGCCCTCCCTGACTGCGCTAGGGCTAGCGGCCTTCACGTTACCTTCCTTCATCACCTGTTGAGTTTCTTCTCAAATCTTCTCACACTCTGTCATTACCTCATGACCATCTTTGTTTGCCTATTCACTGTTAGTCCCCCAGCACCCCACACTGCAGGCCCCGGGAGGGCAGGGGCCTTGTCTGATCTGCACAGGGTATGTTCCTAGTTCCATGCCTGTCACACACCAGGTGCTCAACACCTTCTGAATGAATGAATGAATGATGAATGAATGAATAAGTGAATTTGCGGCTCTGGGTGATGTCACAGCCACGTCGGTGACATACCTAATCTTGGCTTTCCGAAAGGCCAGCTCCTCTTCGTTGCCGAAGTCCAGGGACACATCCTCAGTATCGTCCACCAGGGCCTGGGGGACACCAAACAGAGGTGGCAGGCAGGCAGTGCACATCCCCAGGCCACCCCTCTGCCGGCAGGGCCCCTCCCCCGCGGCTGCAACCCCAGGTCTTCATCCTCCTCCAGGAGGACCACTTGGGGTCGGGCCCAGGCCCAGGCCCAGGCGCAGGCTCAGGCGCAGGCCCAAGGCGTGCGCATCCCTCTTCCTCGCTTCCCCGGGCGCTTGCGCAGGCTCCTCCCGTCATCTCCCCCACCCTCCTGTCCCCGCATCCCTACCTGCTTCATCCTCCCCAGAGCCCACCTGGAGCCCACGGCCCAGGCTCTCCGCCTCTCGCTGCCTTGGGCGGGGTGGGGAGGGCAGTGGAGCCAGCGCCCCGCGGTGCTGCGCCGGTGCAGGTGGAGGCGGGGCGCGCGGCGCCCAGAGCGCAGTCGCGGGCTGGGGAGGTGGGCTCGGCAGCCCGGGCGGGGGTGGGGCTTGCGAGGGTCCGGGTCCCGGGCTCAGTGGGGACCACGCCTGGGAGAGAAGGCGCTGTCGCCTAAGGTGAAGGGATGGAAGATCGGGCAGCCGCCCGGAGGGGACGAGTTTCGGGCTCAGAGGCGCATTTGGGGACCGTGGACAGTGACCCTGGGAGGAACGGAGCGGCGGGCCAGTGAATGAGGTGGACGTCCCAGAATTGTCGACTGGGCTAGCGAACGAGTGAATCATAAATGAATGTCAGTGTTGGACAGCCTCGTTCAGCGTTTGGAGGTGGCCAGTGATTCCCAAAAATCTCTCATCCCAAGAATTCTGCCCCGCCCCCAGCCCTTATGAAAAGCAGATTCCCAGGCCCAGCCCCGGAGATTGGGCAGGCCTGGAGTGCAGGCCTTGAAATCTGCCGTTGAACGGGCGAATCTGCTGCAGCTAAGATCACTGCTGAGCACAGTGAGATCTTCAGGCATCCCGGGGCCAGACACACTCAGCACAAAGGAGTATTATTAGCAGTGATAGTAGTGATTCCGGATGTTAAGGCCTCACCAAGTGTCTCCCAGGAAGGAAGACTTGTCACCTGAAGGTCTTTCCTAGCCCAGGACCACGTCCCTCCCCTCCCTTCTGCTCTCCCTCTCTCCTGGCCTCCCTCCCCCTCCCCCAGCTGAGAGTCTAGATGCCAAGTCCTGTCTTTGCCCCGCTGCCACAGGCAGTAGGGGCCGTCCCCATCCCTGGTGACCTGGAAAACGGCCACTGGCCCACAAGCTCCTGACACAACTCATTCGCTGCTCCCCGCTCTACCCCAAAAGGGCGAGTGGCCCTCCGTGTGCCCGAGGTGGGGGAAGAGTAGGAAACACAGCTGCCTGAGCTCTGATCCCTGTCTGGGTGGGCACCCCCTCCCTTCTCCAAACTGGCCCCACAACAGGCCTGCTGAGTCTGTGTGGAAGGAAGGTGCTTTCTCCTTGGGGACAGAATGCCATCTTGAGGAGTCAGCGAGTCTGGGCCGGCCTGAGATGTGAATCTGTAACAAGCTCCCACGTGATGCTCGTGACGCTCATGCCGCAGGCCTCTGGACTTTGAACTATAAGGATCTAAACCACCAAAGCCTGGGCTTCTAGAAAGGCGGGTGTCTCTTCCAGGAACAGAAGAGAGTCACACTGAGAGGCTGGGGGACACTGCGCTTCCCCGACTCCACTAGTCCCCAGCTGCCTGGGGAGGGGCGCGCAGGGGAGGGCAGGTGGAGGTGAGAAGCCGTTGCAAAACATTTAGGGGCTTTTCCTCCAACCCTGAAAATCACCAGCTGTTGCTATCTGTTAAGTTGGGGCTCAGAGTCCCCAAGGGGGTGAGGAGGTGGGAAAACCCCCTTGGAAATCCCATTTGGGGACAAACTGTCGTTCTTGGGTGCCTGGTTGTGGGGTGCCTTGAGAAATAGCCATGCCCCTGACACGTGGAATTCTCCCCACACATACGAGTTCATGCTGCTCTGCCCCTCCCTGACCTGTCCACATCGGAGCCCGGGCTGGGGATGCAGATCCCAGGGCCAGACCCGGGGCCTCAGCCTTTGGTCCCCAGGAGAATGTGCTCTCCCAGGTGGCCCTGTGCAGAGTCAGTCAGTAGACTTTGGGGGGTAGGCAAGGAACCCGTGGGCTCTGCAGGGAATTCATCATTGGCCTTGAAATCGGCTGCAGTGGATTTACCTGGGGCTCCTGGGTGAAAGCAGATTCCAGAGCCCCACTCCAGGCCTGGGAATCTGCCTTTAATATGGGCTCTGGAGAATCCCCAAGAGCAGAGACTTTGGGGAAATACTGACCTTCTCCCTTCACGATGGTACCACTAAATATGGTCACCGGGACCCTGACGCTAGTCACCTTTGCTGGCCTGGGCTCAGGAGGGGTGCGGGGAGCAGAGTTTCAAAGAGCAGACTCATCTCTGATCCCTGACCCTGGGGCGAGAACAACCTCAAGGAAAGAGGCTCCAGGCTCAGGCAGCCACCGGCCTCTGAATGGTCCCTGGAGGCCCACATCTGGAGTTAGACCGGCTGGGAACAGGGCTCCACCCTTCCTGTCTGGATGGCCTTGGGCGGGGGACTTCACCTCTCTGGCCTTAGTCTCCACACCTGTAACATGGGGCCACACCTTCCCTCTCCCCCTTCATCAGGGAAGATGGACGACCTGGAGAAAGCACATGTAAAATGCCCTCCTCACGGCTGGGGCTCAGGAAACAGCGGCTCTGGTGACGGTGACTTGTGGTCATCAGCAGAGCAGCCTGGAGTCTGAGCCCCCCTCCCCCCCCACGCCCCACGCCGGGCATCACAGAGGAAGGAGTCTCGTATCAGAACCACTCCTTCCACTACGACACGTCTGTCTTAATGGAACCGCACATCCAGCTTGTTGGCCATTTCCCAAACACCTGCTGTGCGCCCGGGCAGATGGCAGCTGGGACAGAGGGTGGAGCATGGCCGTCTCCCCTACAGGGGCCCCCAGGAGTCCTGGCTCAGAAAGCACCCACTTGCTGTGAACGGACAGGACTTAACGTTGGAGCCTAGAGCGCAACCAGGGAGGTGGCCGCGGGTGGAGTCGGCCTGGAAGACAGACAGCTGGCACAGAGGGGCGGCGGGGGTCACATCCGGGGCTGGAAGAGGCCCCCGCACCTCGGGCAGGGCGAGTGGTGCAGCCTGTCATCCCTAGGCCTGCGCCGCCATGGACGGTGTTCCCTGAGGTCCCTCCTGGCAGCGGCCCCGTCACTCTGCTCAGCAGGGCTGGGGGTCTCCCAAGTAACACTAAGCGAGCCTGTGGGGCGCCTGGGTGGCTCAGGTGGTTGGGTCCTGACTCTTGATCTCAGCTCGGGCCTTGCTCTTAGGGTTTCAGGTTCAAGCCCCGTGTTGGGATCCACGCTATGTGTGAAACCTACTTAAAAAAATATATAATAAGGGAGCTCAGTGAAATGGAACTTGGGGGAAACAACAAATCACTTTTTAAAAACACTTTTTTAATGTTTATTTATTTTTGAGAGAGAAGGAGAGTTCAAGTGGTGGAGGAGCAGAGAGAGAGGGGGACACAGAATGTGAAGCAGCTCAGGCTCTGAGCTGTCAGCACAGAGCCCGACGCGGGGCTTGAACCCATGAACCGTGAGATCATGACCTGAGCTGAAGTTGGACGCTTCACTGACTGAGCCACCCAGGCGCCCCAACAACAAATCACTTTTTAGTGTAAGTATGTCCCGTGCAATATTTGGGACATACTTATACTAAAAACGATCAATTGCTTACCTCAAATTCAGATCTACCTGGGGTCCAGCTCCCTCCTGCCCTGGCATCTGGGCAGCTGCCCCTCTGCCTACCCCCCCCGATGCTCCGCCCACTTCGCAGGGCTCCTCCCACCCCACCCCACCTGACCTCAGCCCTTCATGCTGGCAGCCAGGGCAGTGTGCCCAGGAAGGCAGAGCACAGGGCAGAGGGGGGAAGGTGGGTCCCTCCCGTGGGCTGCCCCGCGGGGCGGGGGTGGGCCTGTCCACCTTGTTGGGGGCAGGCGGTGCCCAGGGTGAACCCCGGATTTCTCCCAGACAGAGCTCCGCTGTGCCCGGGCCTCTGTGAGATGGGGAGCGAATCGCTTCTCTGCACACTCCCGTGGCCCTTCACTCCCTCACTCTCTCACCCATTTACTCTGTGCTGAGTCTAGGCTCAGGGATTCCAGTAAGAGAGAATAAGAATTACCAAACCTGGCAAAAAAAGAAAAAAAGAAAAAAAAAGCAGGAGAGGGAGGAGGAGGAGGAGGAGGAGGAGGAGGAGGAGGAGGAGGAGAAGAAGAAGAAGAAGAAGAAGAAGAAGAAGAAGAAGAAGAAGAAGAAGAAGAAGAAGAAGAAGAAGAATTATTATTATTATTATTACGGAAGATGTCAAAAGTCTGTCAAGAACTCAACAGAAGAGAACAAAGGCAGAGACAGTGGGGATTGGGGGGGGCAGGGAGAGCCACTCGGAGCCTCTACATTTTCAGCTCAGGAATATCAGTGTGTGTGTGAGGGAGTGCTGATGCCGAGGAAAGAGCAGGTGCAAAGGCCCTGAGCAGAGAAAGACCCAGCTGTGTTCCGGTACTGGGCAGAAACTGGCCAGCTGGCGGAGGGTATCCTGACCCGTAAGGCCTTGTGGGCCAGGATGGGAGTTTGCTGGCCACCTGATGGGAGGGGACAGGTCCAAGCCACCTGGCTGAGGACAGAAGCCCCACTTTCCTGCCCTGAGCTCCACGCAGGGCCAAGCATGGCCCCAACCACAGTAGGAGGGCTCTGCGAAATCCGCGCTCAGTGGAAAGAGGTCTGGTTTCTCGGGGACCTGCTGGGGTCTGACAGCCACCCCCATTCACTCTGCAGACAGTTTACAGATACGGCCTAGCCCTTCCTGTTCACCTGGCTCCCAGCCCCATCCGTGCGGGGATATGTCGTCTGTCATCTGGCCAGCAGCCCCCGGGGGTGGGGGAGTGCGGTGCTCTGCTCCATTGCCAGGAAGGCTGAGAATCTGGGGTCTTCCTCCCCAGGGGTGCGACAGAACCCAGAGCACAGAAGGATGCAAAGGGCAGAGGGCCTGGGCCCTTCCACGAACATGGTACAAGAAAAGAGTTGGGGAGAAGAAACTTCTGGTTTAAAGAAATTTGTCTATGTGTTAATCACACACGACATGTGCACCTCATTAGGATGCGATTC